TTCGTGAATATCCTTAAGAAGCCGATTAAAAGGGAAGTTCAGTATCTAAATTTTTAAGAAATTAACCCTTCAACTTATAGAAAAGCATGAAAATCTACTAGAGGAACACTGTTCACAAACACGGGCTCATCAGATCGATCACAACCACGGCTAATTCATTCCTTTCCTCCATCACAACTAGTTGCCGGAAACAGAAGAAAAAATCAGAATCTACTGCCTTTTTCTTCGGAATCACCAGCATTTTAATTCGTGCTACGATAATTTCATCCTATCTCCTCAGCATATGGAAAAATGTAGACATAAACTCTCATTACTTCAGTTCGAAAGCTACACGAAACCTACAGTGCTTGGACAATATTATATAATGACAAGTTATCTGGGAGAAATAGAACAAAAAATTTACTGCAAAGCTACAGGTACCTTAACCCTGATTTATGGTATTGCATTATAGTGATACACCTGTTCGTCCGATGCTCGTTCTCCAGTCAGGCAAGCTGAGCTACCTGACTACCTTGGATTTTGTCCTTAATAGCAAACCGAAAAAAACAGCAACTCGTCAAAGATCTCACTTGCTTATTTGAATGGTTGATTGATTTGCCTTTATGAGATCGTTGTAGGTCCTAGTAGTTTTTCGCAGAATTACTGTGCGGCTGGTTAAACAAAATTTCTTTCCGAAATGCCAAGAACAAGGCTACATGCCAGGTTACTCTGCCACAGATACTCGCAAGATTCCGCTGTATGAATAGGTCTCTTCTAGAACATTAGTCACTCTTAGCTACGCCTACCAATAGGAATTTCAAATTAATTCTCAGTTTTGATGAAATGAATGAACAATTTGAGGGTTACCTTGTTGAATGCTATTTTCTTCCAGTATGAGGTCAACGATCATTGGAGTTTCAACCATATTCATGAGAATTTGTGCACATATCATCTAACCCTCTAAAATGAATATAAAGCAAGAATCTATATTAAGGACCATGGGAGATGCATAAATATTACGTGACGCTGATATTTGGACGAATTAGAGTGGAATTAAACAACATTGCAAACGTTGACCTTCTTTCCTGTCCACCTACAAATAAAAGCACTCCTAGCAGTTTGTTCCTGAATGACGTCATGGTACTGAGAACTCCCTCTAAACGACGCCAGTGGATACACAGGTGACTAACTGTGTAACGATGTTATCATCTCATATTTCCGTCGAATCTTTACTAATACTTGTGCTATCCTGCATTTTTTCTCTATGAGTCACTTTATGTCAACAGTGACACTGCGGTAAGAAAGTGCAGATCACGTCTGACCTAATCTACTAACGTTGATTATTTCATCATCGGCCTCCGTGATAGGTGGTGCAAAGGAAATTCTGGAGGTTCCGGTTTGCAAACTATTCATTTTTGCACTTTGCACTTTGAACTTGTTGCTTTGCAGATGGACAGCTTCCTGGAATTTACCTCCTCTTTATCCACGGCCTTGCGTGACAAGATGAAAGCCCTGGCGTCGGTGCTGTCGAGGTCTTTCTAGCTAGTTCTCAACAATGAGAATTAGATTACATAGAATGCGTTCAATCATGCTACGAGTAAATAATGTACAGCCTCTTCAACAGCATCTTTAGTTATGCAGAGCTGAAACTGTTTAGGACTTCAGCTCTGCCTTTAAGGTCTTTACGCTGATTTAACTTAAATTTCTGACGCCGAGATTGCTCACTCCAGTTTGCTTACACATTTAAAACTAAATCCCCATAAATATTAGATAAAAGTTTCATAAAAGGCTCACCTATAACAGTGATGATCATGTTTTTGAAAATGGTGGTTCCTTCCCTTGTAAATCCTAAACACTTTTACCATTTGAATCTTAAGTAGTTCCAAAGTCTCTGGACATGATTGAAAATACATACTGTTCTCATATCATTAAAAAAAAATTAACAGAACTAACTCCAGAATTGCTTCATTTAACAAGAACGCTAGCATACGACATTCTCGAATAGCTTAACTTCTACTAGCGGATTTTTTTTTATAAGAAGAAGTACTACGCAGTCACGAAAGAGAAACTCTTCTTAAAATTCCATTTGCCCATTCTAAGAGACATCATTGCTTCTGTGAAAAACCTTGATTTTCTTGTGTTTCCATGAAATGGAAACAATTATCCTAGTGGATCTTTTTACGAATCTGAAGAAAGCGATCTAACCGGAAAATGAGCTGGGACCCGAAGAAGCTTGCGAACTTGACTCTATCCATGAGGGGACTCTAAGGACACATGCATTACATTGTTCTTCTTAATTGATAAATAAAATAAAAAACAATCACGGAGGCAACTTAGATAAACAAAAGAAAAGTGGGGAAAAACACCGAACAAAAAGGCAAACGTAGGAAAAAGGAAAAACAACTCAGTGGAAAGTGGGATGGGAATGCGCCCCTGCACTATTATATTCGTTTACGGTAAGCTTTATAAGCGATACTGGTGAAATTTCTTTGTAATTCTAATAAAAATAACTTAATCATTTATTCAGTTTAGTTTCGTTTACTACTGAGTGATATCCGTAGAAGGGATGGTTCACCTTAATCATCCACCCACTCATAATTGAAAGAAAACGAATCATACGACTCCTAAGTACAACGTCATGCAAAATGAACTCTGTGCACTATTCCCAGGATTGACTTCCTATTAACTTCGGCATTGGATTATAAATTCTTCGTTTTTTCTCTCAGCAATCACAAGGTTGTTAAACAGCATACGTTTACTTCCATGCAGTAACCCACATGCAACATAATCGTAGCTGGCGTGTCGGCAGTATCGCCCTCTTCAGAGCCTTTTTTTAAACGTGCCTTCCACTGAAGAAGAGCCGCTGATCAGCGTTGCATATGGTTGACGACTGTGCACTATCTTATCTGAACAGCTGAAAATTGTCACCATTTTCGTCACCTTGACGACCTTTCAATGTATTCGTAAACCCGCATTATAATTTTTTATACTTTGCTGTTTTTAGTGAAATGAGCCGGAGAGCGATAACCTAGTGGTAGTGATTCCGTTCATTACGCGAACGACCCAATTTACCCCAATGATGGTCTGTTCCTTCATCGGGAGCATAAAACCTGTCACCTTCCGAAATCGGGAAATCGGTGCTGCACTACTCTAGAATAAGTTCACTCCTGCTAATTCATGTGTTAAAGCCTTATACCGGCTATTTCAGAGAGAATGATCTCTACCAGCATTCAACGAAATTCTTGACGAAGAGGAAAAATTCTCGAGCAGCAACTGAACCCACACGAAAAAAATTTCTAAGACCTTCGTTGGTGATAGATGGGAATAAACGAACCGAATTCAAGGAGAAGGAGCGCTGAGATCCGCATGGTGTGGTATAGATGATATCAGGTTATGTAATAATAAAATAAATTAAGCAAGTGGCGCGATTTCACACGTGGAGATCACAGCACTTCTTTTATTCGTCGGCTCTCGTTCACCATTGGGGCGCGTGTGGAGCAGTGGTAGAAGGCCTCTGCAACACACACGTGGAATCGGATCCCGCTCCCATGGCCCACCAAGTCTTCCATCCCTCCGAGGTCGGCAAATTGGTACCAGACTTGTCCGTGAGGATAGCAGCACTGGCTCAATACATCGGTAGGCCACCGCGAGCCATTGTAAAGGCCAGATATGCATTCAATCACCTCCAAACGATGCTTAATGAAGTTGAGTGCATGGCGAATCCCTCAGGAATTGATCAACATCGAGAACTTTACCCTTTATCCTTTATCCATTCATCATTCACGAAGATCTTCGTATTTGCTTGTATGCTCGACAACCACTTGAAGACTTTGTCTTTTTCGTAAATGTCGTTGAATTCTAGTCGAGTTGGTTCTTGTAGAATCCCGATGTAGCTCCTCCTAGAGCATTCCTACGTTTTCACCACAGTTGCAGTGAGCTGCACTTACGGGGCAGAAATTTCCTTCCTGAGAAGGAATCAACTTGCAGGCTACGGAAGATTAAGAGGCGTGAATAGTTTGGAGCGGAGTCGAACCATCGACTGAGTTTGTGTTATTGTGCGAAATCTTCAACCACTGCGCTTCCAGCTTCCCTAATTTACCAGGTTACATTCTCTTTCTTCACAATGTTGTATTATGAATCCCCATAATCCGTCAAGTGCATCGAATATTTTTTTGTTGAGCAACTTCGAGCCGCTTTTGCTATTTTCATACAGGAGCCAAGTAGGAAAAAAATTGGAAATTGTAGCTGATCACAAGAAACAGTTAGGTAGCAATATCAAAGCGATATTATAAAAAAATTAATAGTATGAATATAACCTAAGAACTGACTTCCATTAAGCTTCGGAAACAATAATCAATAGTTCTGCACATTATTGAGCTGACACGAGGTTGGTATAAAAATTGTTAGTGGTTCCAAGGGGTCGTTGTTGCGATGTGGGTATTTGTAGTTTCATTGAATCGAATTCAGTAGAGGCGAAGACGTCGAAACGTTAGCCGAATTAAAGGTTTGCAATGTTAACTTTTTATTTACTGTCTATTATAATTTTTTACGGTAGGGTATTATGTGAGACGCAACCACAATGATGCTGAGATATTTGCAAAACTCCGGATTGCAGGTGTCTACGGTGGGGGCTAACGCGTTCACCACCACACCATCCGGGTCTTTCGTTTTGCTTGTCTCTTTTATTTCTTTTAAAAAGTTTTTATATCGACCTCATGTCAAATTGTAGAAAATTATTACACCAGTATAATTCTTCACATTCTCCCAAAAATGAGCTGTCTATATTGCAATTTAGCATATCTTTTGAATTCCAAACGGAATCCTTGCTGAAACAGCTATAGTGAAGTAGGGGGAATTATCTGTAATTTCAAACACGATAAAATCCACCAGTTACGTTCTTTCTTGGCGCCGCCTATCCCATGGTTTTGTGAACAGTTGTTATCAGAAGCTTCCGGTGCATATCATTGTTTATAAGGGCTACAGAGGACATATCGTTTCCTACTTTTCGTCACGTGTTCAGAATGAAATCGGAAGACGCTGCGGCATGTCATCCACTATTCCCTACGATACCGGAACCGTATGCATTATTAGGTGTGCTAAAGTCTTTCATCAATATCTTAAAAAGTACAATCGCCATCCGATGTGACTAATTCAGCTTACCATCTACCTGAAGTGCCACAAATGATGGTGTCGAATTCATTTCTAAACCCGTACTCGTTCTCTATTCTACCATCATTCCCGGATCCAATGCTCTTCACACTTCCGGTTCCAACTTCACGGTCTTCTCTTTGGTAAGTTCTTATGCTTGTTGACTCTCTAAACTCGTTGAAGTTGTGTGCAAACCTCTATTTCCTGCCAGAATTTTCAATTTGTGATACTGATTCCGTTCCCGGTGCATTAATGACCTCCTAAGAAGGAATGCCACCCTTCCTATTAACTAACAAAGCATTCAGCACTCAAGCTGTGACCTTTGCGGATTCCCCACATCAGCTGAAGAATCTGGCAGAATGTTCCTCACAATCACGCAGAAGTTCACATTCAACTGAATCCGGAGCATCATCGCTTCGAAACACACGAGAGGTGAATTCCACTTATTTGAAGCAATCAGAGTGTTTATAGTATCGGAATATGGTTCCCATTTTATTTAAATTCGTTGTATCTGGTCAATTTTAGAAGAGCCCGAGCATCAGTAGTTCACATTAAAATTACAGTACGAAATCTTCCTACTGAGTGTTATAGTGAAATACATACTGAAAGGAAAAAATAAGGCTCTCGGCGTTGATCAATCAATCCCTAAGGGACCGTGCATTCGACTTCATTAAGCATCGTTTGGAGGTGATTGGATGCATATATTGCCTTTACAGTGACTCGCGGTGGCCTAATGATGTATCCAGCCAGTGCTGCTATCATCCCAGATAACTCTGGTACTAATTTGCCGACTCCGGAGGGATGGAACGCTTGGTGAGCCCTCGGCGCCGGGAGCGACCTCATGTGGATTGCATCGAACACTGCTCTATACTCGCCCAAAATACATATTAACTGGATGATAAAGTTGACTTGAACTCTTTTCTATCCGCAGTGTTCATAACCTTACAAACGAATGTAGCAGTGCCACAACTAAACCCTTTGGGATGATAACTCTTCTCAAATTGTACGTAGTCCAAAAACAGCATGAATTACTCAGGTTTTCTCATAGTGAGAAAGTTGATTCAGGATTTTCAAATCTCGTTGTTAAAAATGCCAGATAATTTACCAAATGAACATCCTTTACGTTTTCTTTTAAACTTTTTTATATGACACGTGTCTCAAATCTACTATGTGGATCCCAGTTGTTCTTGCATTTGATTCGTATCCTCACATCGATCATCCACGAAGATGTTCCACCTTTTGTGTGAGGCTTCGGCTCCCAGTTGAGGATTTTTCTCTCGTCATGAATGTTGTTGAATACCGGTCGATTCGAATCTCACTGGAATCCTGAGATTGCCTTGCTAGAGGATTCCCACTTAGACTGCAGAGTGAACCTTTCCCAGACGAGTCTTGGACTAATACTTATGTTTAAATACATGAATTCTCCAATGAAATGTACTCTATATTATATTAACGACTCTTCTTGAAGTATAGCAACTGTCCTTTGTCAATGTTGTTAAGCTTTTACAATTAAGTGTGTTTCTTCTGAAGAAAGCTGCCAAGTAACGTCACGACTTCGAAGAGGACGGCCACAACAAGACATAAGTGATGATGACGATGATGATCCGAATAGCCAGAAACGACGCCATCGACGACTGTACGCTCGGCAATACAGGTACATCCATGATTTTTTGAGGATGTTCTTCACTGTTCAAGAGACTCCTTAAACATTTGTTGAATCATCAAAATTCAATCCGTGAACGGTGTGACTTTAGAGCCCAAATACGGCACAAAGTCGACGAGGTGAAAGTACTGAAGGCGAAACTGGATGAAATGAAACGAACCATTGAAAAGTTGGAAACGACCTTGGAAAGTGAACGAAGAGAGCATCAACAGAATACCATTCTCTTGAACTCAGTGATCCAATCGAAACTTATCCCCCAAGTCATTAGTCAATGATACTCCGCTATGAATCACCTGATTACCTTTAGCACTTTCCCTGGCTCAATGTTAACATGTAAATCTGAAAATACTTTATCAATAAACGTCGAAATGTAGCAGAGAATAGCAATGTTAAGAAATGATATTTTGACATTCTAATATCAGAACATATCATTGCTCAAAATCAGTAGATAAACACAATTTTACAGCACGAGGAACGGCCAGAAAATCTGACGAGAAGCCATTTTTTAACATTGAGGTGGTAAAAACAAAGTGGTGATTAACAAATAAGAGAGCACTGCAAGAGTGAAGCCACACTTCCGGTAGATTTCCAAGTCTATAAAAGTAAACGGGTGACAGCAAATGAGCATGAAACCTTCTCTCCTTTATTTTTCTAGTTCTTTCCCGAATAAATTCGGTCGAAGTACGGCTCGAACGAATTGAACCAAAAGAAAAAAGAGCAAACTGGGGCCTCTATGAGGATGCAGAAAGAAAACAACGAACGACACAGTTTAAAATATCAGAGGTACCAAAAATTAAGAAGCAAAAAACAGCGTCACGCATCACCTCAATGCCGTGACCTTTTTACATCGTCGCGATCACCATCTCGATCACCTCCCCTCTTGTTCTTCACCTGTTGGAAGAGATCACCCAAACCGAACACATCTTGTTCGCGTTCGAACTGAAATTAAAAAGAGTATGTGCTAAACACAGGTCTATTCCTCCCTTCCTTCCTTTTTTCCCTCTCCTAGTTTGTTAAGCGCGACAGTGGGTTTTAACGCAAAAATACATGGTGATAAACCCAACATAGCTTACTTCTTCATCAGAGTAACAAATTTCGAAAAAATATGAGTCAGGATTGCGATTGTGTTATCAATTGCGGCATCCAGACCACAAGCGACGCTTATCAGTGCTAAACATGAAAGAACAACTGCAGCGTGCAAACATTAAGGAAGGTCGTTTTAAACAAACATAGATCAAATCCTCATTTAAAAAATGTTAGAGTAAGCACTTAAGCACTAGAAGATGTTGGCGATCCGAAGGCGACTTGCACCTCTTAAATCTATTCTCCCTAGCAATCAGGGTAAAAAAAATTTCCTAATCATCTGAGCTGACACATACGACGGAGAAAATGAAAATATTAGCCGCATAATGTTAACTTTTTATTTCTTGCCTATTATAGTTTTTCACGGAAGAGTATGATGTGAAATACAACCACAACGATGATGAGATATTCGCAAAACTTGGACGCCTGGGTCAGACCGCACCACTCAAACCACGGTTTTCCTCTCCGGGGACTCGTGTATTAGACACTGACCACGAAAGCTCTCGCTCTGAGTTTCTCCAAGCTAGTTTTCTACCTAACCCTGCAATCAGCAATCACCCGTTAGCATGATTGGTCTCACAAATCGGCATTGAACCCAGTTAATGGTTGTTGTGGTTGCATTTCACGTCATAACCTGCCGTGAAAAACTACAGTAGGCAGAAAATAAAAGGTTAACGTTGTGATTTCGAATACAGCCTCAGCTTAAGTGGGTTTAATGCCGATCTGTATCGGGTAGGAAACTATCTGAGAGAAAAGCAGAGCAAGGGCCTCCGATGTGCAGTCTGTGATACGCGAGCTCCGGAAAGGGTAATCATGGTTCGATCTACCCAGTAGTCCAAGTTTTGCAAATATCTCAACACGTTGTGGTTGTATTAGCGGCATATTTAAGGAGTATCACCAATTTACGTTGTTGTCACATAATAATCACTAAGCACAAAGAAGTTCGTAACATCGAGAAAACTTCTAAGAATTACCCTTCAACTTTAAATGCCTATCAACGGTCTAGTTTAAATATCGAAACAATTCCCATGAAAAACAGTCAAATTTTTTACCTCTATTTCACTTACAACCTATAGATCTAGGGATAAAAATAGTTGTTGCTAATCATCCCATTCAAACTTGCATCCATCTTCAGTTCAGACATAGTGTTATTGTACTTATATATAAAGTAGAAGCTCCTGTTGTGAACTGCGAGCGTTTCTGTACCAAAACAGCGCTTTTTTTTTTTTGAAAAGCGACTGGTAATCTCTGTAGCTCTCGGAACATAGCGGAGCTTTTAATACACTCACACTAATCATTTTGTCGTCATAGAACAGTATCTATAAGTATCAAAAATTAACAAACCACCTGAAACTGTAGAAATCCTTCTACAGAACGACATACTTATAGAGAACCGTAACTAACTTAACTTATGCTTTCTAAGAACGACCATCCATTTTAGTGTAAGCAGGGAAAAGCCTTCATACAATAAATCTAACCAGTAGATGTAATCCCTTTTCTAAGGTGAGTAGTGGCGAGTAAAAGAGAAAACTTCTAACTACTAATTTAAATTGAAAAATCACACCAAGAACAATGAACTAATAAGACTTAGAAGGTAATCAGCTACCAACCTGCACCGGTCCTGCTCCACGAGAACTTCCTTCCGCTCCAGAGAAACCTTTATCCGGAACAAAGCGTTGGGTATTGATGATTTTATCGAGGTCGTCACCGTAGACATCCTTATCGATATTTTTACCTAAATTGGCAACAACTACCAGAGATATGCATAGTTTGGTTAGTACGTGAACTTTGAGTGAGAGTATATGGAACCGCTGATATTTTTGCATCATTGACTCCGGGAAGTATAAGATAAAAGGGTAAAGAATAAAGCTCTCGGCGTAGAACAAACCCTGAGGGATGTGCCAAGAATTCGACTTAATTAAGGATCACTGGAGATGAACGAGTGCAAATCAGGCCTTTACAATGACTCGCGGTGGCCTACCGAAGTATCCAATCAGTGGCGATATTCCAGACAAGTCTGGTACCAAATTACCGACCTCGGCAGGATTGAGAGCTTGGTGAGCCTGGAGCGCGGCGATCGATCCCACGTGTACTGCAGGACGGCTCCACACCAGCCTCTATTATATACATCAAAAAAGACAGACCTAAGCGAAACTTAAAAGCGCAACCCAAGCGACTTCTACGGAATAAATATGTCTTGGAAAAATGGATGTTTTCCAAGCAGTTCCTAATTTCTCTGCTAAAATTACTCCAATAACGTTTTGTCCGCAGTAGTCGAGTGAATAGTGAATCTTTACAACCACACAATTCAATGAGTACCTATAATAAAATTTCTACAGAAACATTCCTACTATCGATCAGGGAACCCATTTTCAAATTCATGAACTGTTAGTATTAAAGCACGTATATTGCTGAATGCACAACTGATAACGCAAGCAGCAATAAATAAGTCATCGTATCACGTTACGAACACTCTACTGCACTATATGATATTATGTCGCCCATCATGTCGTTCTGATAACGACTGGCTCGAGTAATCGAAATAGGATTTAAAACTGATATCATTGCAGATAAAACCATCGACAAGCAGTTTTTCCAAAGAACCAAACTCACTGAAGAATGAAACACTCAACGAAATTTACAACACAAATGTAAAAATATCAGCCTTTTTTTTACTATCTTCTACAATTTTCACTGCAGAGTTTTATGCAAAATCCACCACAATGATGCCAAGATATTTGCAAAACGTATCGAACACGCTGATTACGCTAGAAGATAGAAAATTAGCTGAGAGAAAGGCAAAACGAAGGACGCACATAGTGTGGTGGTGAACGCGTTAGCCCTCGGAAAAGGTAACATGTTCGATCCCTAAGGCAGACACTTGCCACCCGGAGTTTTGCAAATATCACAAAATCATTGTGGTTGATTTCGTATGTAAACGTTTCATTGTCCATAGCACCACATGATGAAGACCAATACTACAGAAGAACATTATTTTGAACTCACTTGGCCTATATATGTGCTGCTGAACATTGTCAGCACCTCGCCAAGCCTTGTCGTAGGGGTTATACGTTTCATCGTCCATAGCACCACTGTCTAAACCCTGAAAAAAGGAAAAAAAAACTTTTCTCCATCTGAACTCATCTGTGACTTTTATTAGAACCTTGTTCTGGTCGAATAATCTCTGATCAAACTGAGTTTCGTTTGATCGAACTTTGGCATCTGGTAAACCAAGAACTATCTTCTCCGAAATATCGCGATCACGATCTCTGAAGATTGCACCTAATTTATTTTATTGAAACTTGAAGATGTCCATTGCAAACACGAACCGCATAAGCCTGTCCACTTTGTCTGGTCTGTTACGAGCAATATTTCTTTCCTTCCTGATGTCATCCAAACGATCACGTCTACAAAAGAATAAATAAAAAATCTGTGCAAATTGATACCAAAGCTGCCTCTACAGACAAACTACGAGCATCTTTTAAAACCGAATTTCATTGCGACGGCATGGATATCTTGTTAAACACAGACCAAAAATCACCGTGTGCTTTCCTGAGATGTAGTTGGATCCATGCATAGTTTGCCCTGCACTAATTTGATACATATCTCCTGGATTTACGCAGATATGTCCATGGAATCGAAAGTGGTTGCGTCTGCACATACGCAGACTGTATCCTACAGGTCAATTTGGTCAGAAATATGTGGACACGTGGTTGAGAAGGATATCGGACGTTATTAGTTCTTTCCAACAAATGAGCGCCATTTCTACTCTGTAATAGACGGGTAAGCTACTTGTGAGTAAATCTAGGCCGTACGTTGAGACCTCGGCAATATGTCCGTCGGTGTGAAAAGCGAAGCACCGTAAAATAAAAATTTCTTATTTTCCAAACAATGAAATGATCTCTAGTATAGCAGCGTCGGGTAGGAGTAGTATGGAGAAGCTGCTGAAATCTCAGCGGCATTCCAGGCTGCCCAAATATGGAGGGGCTATAACGACGATCGGCACGTGTAGTAATTAACTCCGGCACACCAACTCTTGATTGAGGGTCTGGTGACGAAAGCTGAAAAGAATAAGGACAAGGTCAACGGACTGGTTCAGATAAGAGCACGCCGTTTATTTAATACCGTATACGATTCCGGAGACCCATTTCTCTCGAAACACAGCAACTAGCGACGAGACGTATTCAATAAAACGAATCTGTGTCATGAATATCGAGACCGTTGAACAACTAACAGTTCGACGCTTACCGGTGAAGAGATGTGCATCAATGCCGACTTTGACAATCTTCATCGTCTACGCAACCATATCAAGGTATGCCGATGAGGTCTAAACATTTTTTTAATGAACTTGAAGTTGTACACAAACGATCACGGTAGTCATTGGCTATGTTAACGGCAAGATCGAACTAAGGAGAATGCCCGAAGAACATCACATTGGCACCCACGCACTCGAGTGTAATGAAGGTGAACGACTACTATGACGAACGAAACCAATGCATGACAGATGTAGCTATCGTCGGAAAAATTCACATATTATCGAAGCCTCGCCTGCTTTACACAAGATTCTTCTTTTTACAAAAAGCAGAGATAGCAACAAAATTGAAGAAACGAAATCCCGAAACTATAATAATTTCCGATTTGGTTAGATCAGTGGTAAACTTTTGTGAAGATGCCGTCATCGACAACATGAACAGTACAACTGGATTATTCATTATATCATGTTAATGCTATGAAAGCTGACAGCCTGAAAATTACCAAGAGATGTCTACCTCCATGAACACTCCAACTAATACGAAACGTGGAATCGCACGAGAGGTGGTAGACAATCACCAACTTAAGTCAGAACTTATAAAGCTCTAAAGGAAGCCGATAAAAGGATAACACAAAGAAACGTAAGCAATTAGGGTTGAAGAGGTGAAGAAGAGGACCTGCAGAGCCTACCGAAACCCCGCCATTTATAAGGCTACGATGACTCCATCCCAAAACCCAGACGGAGGTGTTGCGGCATCTAAAAAGGCAGTGGAAAAAACATTCACAGCTACTAGTTTGATCTCTTCAACAGCAAGGTACTCCTGCTTCTATATGGAATTAAGAAGTGTGGGTATGTGGTCACAGAGACACTCTCATTCAGAATTCAGCATGTCACTCTGTCGATGAAAAAGTGCACAATACCTAATGTGCACAAAATTAAGCCGGAACATCTGAAGAACCTTTCCTCCAGTCCTAAGCAACACGTTAGCACGGTTATTCGCACGGCACTTGTCAGAATCCAATGTTCTAACCAATGGAAGACAAGACTGTGTTGCTGCAAAAAAGGTAAATTTTCCTTGCACAACATCGGCAACTTGTCCAATCTGCCTGCCTGTCCTGTATGAAGTCTTCCATCGAGCCATCGTTAGCAGAAAGGATCGGACATCAGATGAAAGACAACCACTTGATCAAGTTAGGTATTTTGGAAACGATTTAGTATGGCGTACCACATTCACACGATGACAAGAATCACTGAAGTATCGCGACAATACAGAGACTCGATCTGTCCACCTTTCGCTAGTTTAAAGAAAGCCTTTAGTTCATTTGAGAGTGGAAGTTTTGGAATCTCTTGACATATATGATGTCGCTACTTAATAAATAAAGATTCTTCGTGACCTGTATGAAAACTTGACAACCAGAATCTCATTATTCTATAACGTTATTAACATAGACATAATGAGAGAGGAGTCGATAACATCTCCACAAAACATTAACGGTCACCCTCGAGAATATCGTGCGAGGATCGGAATGAGACAACATAGAGGTGAATGTCAGCGGCTGACAATTACATTACTTTGCTGATGACACCGTTCTTCTAACAGCAAGCAATAGCCAGACAAAATAAATGCTACATGGCCAACAATAATTTCGGATAAACTGGTCTTCGACCTAAATCTCAAGAAGACGATCTTCACAATAAACAAATTTCTTTATCACGCCCCTATAGTGCTCAACTGAATCGACTGCTACAGCAATGCTACTGTCGACAGGTCTACACGCCGAACGACTAAGCTTCAGTGCAGAACGGAACGAAGTAAAGAACTTCCAAAGTTTCGAAAATGTAGTGAACAGAACAAAAAAGAAAACTCACGACACCTGTATACATACGGTCAACTCCCGATCTTTTCTACCTTAACATGCGCATAAAAAAACTGGATGCTAAGCAAACACGTTGAAACATTAATAATCAGCGGTATCAAATGCGCAATCAAAAGCAACCCTGGGAGTAATACACAAAACGCTATCGAGTGGGGGAATCCGATGTTCTGATCAATGTCAACGACCAAATATTAGGCAAGCCGATACATACGCCAAAATGTCGAAAATTAGTTGGACCAAACAGGTGATACGCATTAATGACAAGCGGTCGACCACAACCGTTAGCGACTGGATCACACAGGATGCGAACAAAAACTACCAAGCTTACTCCTTTATGAAAATTTTAAAAAAAGAATGTGTTTCGGGTTATCATTTAGTACGAACACAATTCACTAAGCTACTGTTCCAGGCAACAGAGACATATAACAACTTTACATGCGCCCATTCCAGTTACCGGACAATCAAAAGGAGGATAGGTGGTACAAATAACCACTTCATCGATACTTGAATATAATAGCCTACAACGAGTATTTCAATATTTTCCACAAATTTGCATCACAGATTTTCCCTTTAGTATAATAAATAAGTCACTAAAATACTAAGTACCTTAAACAAAAATGAGTTAGGGTCCATGATGTGTTTGAAAAAGATAACCATGGGTATCAGAATCAACGCTATTGTAAGTCTTGATAGTTTCTATTCCAACAAGTAATTCTCATTACGATCTCATTACGTTAAAACTCCAAAGTTGTTTTCGGCCATATACGAGTCACAAATGATAAACATGGTAACAAGCAAACTAGAAAATAGAATTTAAACAGTAAAATGATGCAGAAATGCAACAACCATATCCTGTGATTGTGGTGTATAGGATCAGTAGTAAAGCTCACGGCATCATTCAATTTCATGGAGATGTGATTCCAAGTTTCCCGTGACTATATACCGAGACAGAGGCCCTCCCAGTGGAAATACCAGTTTTACCCACCGGTAGCTATTGCCACTTCCATTTTCAAGAAAATCACCTTCACTTAACAATGTGATCATAAAAATTCCATAAATAAATTCCATAAAGCATATCCATAAATACCTAATTTCCTCTCGTGCCTTGACAGCTTCATCCTCATCTTCACCTTTTTTCTTTATACCAGCACGTTCCTGAAACACTTTTCAATCGATTAATAAGAGGGGTGGAAAGTGAGGTGACGGCAGACGATTAACTGAACAGTAAGGTAGTTGGCAATCTATGTCACATTCCTAATAGAATGCTTCAAGCTTACCAGGAACAAAAACCTCAGAAATAAACCACCTCTTATCATATATCCATTCTATAAAACACACCAACTACTCATCACCGTCGTAAAAATGCGGAGCAAACCTGTCGTGCTTTGGCAGCCATCTCTCGCATACGAGCTTCTTGCTCAAGTTTCTTGTGCTGTGCTACTCTCTTTTCCAGCTGGGCTCTAGCTTCTACTGACTCTCTTGCTTTTCTGTCGGCGATGTACAGCGCTTCGGAAAGCTTTGCAAATCCTTCATTGATGTGAGTCTAAAAAGAAATGTCATCAAGAATCAGACCGATGCTCTAAAAACAGAAGTGAATTGCACCTGTTGTAATCCTCTCCCATCGGCAGCTAATCGTTTATCAAGAGAAACTGTGAAACCTACAAAAAAAAAGATTTACGAAAACTACCTTCTTAAAAACTACATGTTATAAAAGCTAGTCAGCTGACTCTAACCTTTAGGATTCTTCCAATTAGAAATACATGGCGGTATCTTCCAGTCGTTTTGGTCTTTGGTTGTTACCTAAGAATTAATAACTATGAGAAGAAAACGGCACTGTATTGTTGATACGAAACCGAGACGATGCGCATACTTTCCTTGGCGGACTATGCATCACTGGAGCAGGAGGTGACGGAGGAGCTCTTGGAATCTTTTGGTTGATCCTGAATTCCATTTAAATTTTGAGGATATGAGACGAATAAAACGGAACGAGTAGAAAATGCACTGAAATCCTAGAAGCACTGAAAACAACTGTAAAAGAAAGCACCTGAATTTCGGTGGCTCCATGGGATCTTTCTGTTCCTCTACCATTCGAATAATTCTCTGCTGTGAACCTAAACTGATATGATTACTTCATGAAAAATGACACTTAAAGCAAAAACATACCCCCAGCATGCATTGAACTTTGTTGGCTGGGAGTATACCGGATGTACTGCACGGGTGCCTGCTTTTCTGCATGACGAACAGGAAGAGCTGATGCTACCTTAAGGGAAACATAGGAAGTTAATACAGCCTCGTGAGACCATTATACACCTATTGATCCATCCTATCATTTTCATTCACCAAAATATTCCTGGTTTAGACTTAAGCTTCGTAGATTTACAAACCTTGCTCTCAGTAATTTTCTCTAAGGCTAATCGTGTTTTTTCCGTCTGCTCAGCTATTGTTTCTTCATCGGGACGCTGAACATCGTCGTCATCTTCATCCCAAATTTTTGCGCGCATGTCAGACAACTTCGAGTAAACAATCTGAAAATCCATCCTATCGTTTGTATACGCGGTCGTCCAACTACGGAATCACACAAGAAATGACCCACTTTGTTCTTATCGTGGCCAAGCCGCGCAATAGCATCATGCCGCAGTTTGCCGTCGGCATCGTACTGTAAGGAGATTTGACCTTCACTCTTTCCTCTTCGTTCACCCAATCCCATTCCGAGAGGAAATTGTGCTACATGTATTTCCGGAAATGCCCCGCCATCGCCGAAATCCTAGAAAAAAAAGAGTCTGGCAAAACAATGGACTAACTTGATGAACCAGATGTCAACGAACAAATTTGAAGATTAAACGGCTCAAAAGGAATGAAATTGGCATCCATTGTAATTTGATGTCAGAAATGAGTCTATTCAAAATATCAAAAATGATAGAAATCATAGAAAAACCCTACGTCAGCGTTGCGTGGTTTAAACCCTTGACGTCGACCATAAGGTGGGGGTTCCTTTACAACGATAGCTGTGGAAAGCAAGGCATCTTCTCTCCCACGAAAGAATGGATCTCGGCGAACCTAATACGAGTAGGACTTAAACTACTACTAGGGAAAAAACAAAGCGAAGAAGCTAAAACAGTATCATAAAAAGTACGGTACACAAAAAGACTAACTTGTGAATATTCGTCTGTTATTGAAGACGGGGGTGGAAGAAGCCTGAAAACTATTATGTGACGTTACAGATATTCCCTCTTATACTAAGCTATAAAAAATCTCGCCAATAATAAAAAGGATAAAGCTTTCTGCGTTGATCAACCCCTGATGGATGCGCCATGCATTCGACTTCATTAAGCATCGTTTGGAGGGAATTGAATGCATATCTGGCCTTTACAATGACTCCCGGTGACCTAAACCTAGTAGCAGTGTGCCGACCACGGAGTGATGGATGGCATGGTGAGCTTGCGCGCGGGATCGATCCCATGTGTATTCCAGGGCGCTCACTGCGTTTCACGCGCGATTTCTCCAATAGATAGTATACTGTCTTCAATTCTCCAATCCTAATCAAATTATGTTGTGAAAAAACTACAACTTGAAGAAAGCAAATCTGAAAAAAAGAAACGAAGAAGAACTAACTCGGTCAGCTTCACTGACATGGTTTACCAACTGGAGCCGAAAGAAGAATGCTGAAGCGAGGTAACCTTGTAGGCCAACATAGTAGTGATTCAGAGGCCCAGAAAAGAATGTAGACAGAATGAAAATTGAAGATAGATGTTTGACAACGAACGAATTTCCTCACAGTAGGAAAAACATTAAACCGTTTATCGTGACGGCATTAAATGCTTACAGTGGGATCATTACAAATGAACCAAATAAGTATACGAATAGGTACACAACTGATGTTCACAACATGGTTGTAAGCAACTGATTTCTTGATGAGTAGACACGACATTGTTGTGATTCATTTCACTTTTAACTTATACCTTTCTTTTGTAAGCTGTTTACTTCTAGTGTTTCGAGGGCTATTGCATTTTTTTCCGAGTATGAAAGGGTTATGTTGAAACGCGATCAATCTACTGGGCCAAATTCTTCCACCACCTCAACAGAAGAAGCTCGCAATCTAGATTTCAATCACGTGGGAAACACCTCCAAGCACTCGTCATTTTCTTTAAGCTTTCCGCTGAATGTTAGAGATCAATCGCATAGAGATCACATGAATGAGGAATGTGCTTTTCTTAGCTCAAAAAAAAAAAACAGTCTGAGATATTGTGCGAGATCATGCGTAGCTATAAGGAACCAATCCCAGAGTTAACTTCAACTTGAGCATCTAGGTGTTCATTTACATGGATCCATAACGGTTTGTTTCGCAAATATATTCCTCGTCAACTGCTTTACAACTTTTTCTGATGAGGTTATGGAAGTTATCAGATGAGTACAACGCGTATTCATGCACCGAAGAAGGCAAAACTTTCGAAACCTTAGCGAGGTTAACAACCTTGTACCAGCTTATCAAGAAAACAATAACCTATTCATCGATTCTCGGGTTAACTGAAAATTAACCCTGGAAAGTAAATGGCAGTTTCAATCGTGGCACTTAAACAATATTTACGAAAGAGATGAACATCAAATGCAATAAAAGAAACTACTTTGTGGATCTTATAGCTTTCATATACATTTGTCCAATTTCTTCAGAGGCAGTTTTAAAATCTTCAGCCGTTTCTAGTATGGTTCGCCTCTAAAAATAATAAAAAACATCAAAAAATAAAACACCGTAATAAGGATGCTGAAACTGTACTGACATAAAGGAAAACCTACCTGTGCAGCAGCTATGCGACCGGACAACAACGAAAGGAAATCGCGAACTGTCCAGTCCTTCTCGTCAAGCTTATTCAGTTCAACAAAACTACAACTCTTAGCGTGCGCTCGATGTTCCTCCCTAAAGAGATAGAACACTAAAGAAATATCAGACCAACTATTCATAAAAAACCGCTCACCAGGGATCATCCTGCTCCTCAAATATCATCTCTTTAAAGCAGAACACACATGTTGCTGCCGCAGGATCGCGTCTGCTTCCAGAATATATAAAGCCGGCTTTGGCTAGCTAAAAACAAACTGGAATATTTTCGACGGATATTTAAAGCCAACATAATGAAACGAAAAAAACCAACGACTACTCGTAATGAACTCAAGGCTTACTGCATCAGAAGAACATGGAGAAGCGCCCTTGTCAAAACACCACTTCTTAAACGTCGCCTTACGATGTGCATGGAAGAGGACGTTGGACTCCTCACTGACGATCTCGTCAAACAGAACAGACTTCAAGGTCTTATTGCTCATCTACTCACAGGAGATATAACTCTAAAAAGTACTTTGGCTGAAGAATGGTATGCATACGGAGACGACACGACGACTGAAGAGCTCCCACTAACTACAAGTCTACGCGACATCCACGAATTCCTTACTTAATGTCCATCCCACGTTCTAGCAAGCTTACCATATTTCCATAGAAGGATAAAAAGGCCGCCAATCAACCTTATAAGGATATACGCCTTCCTAATACAATAAGTTCATCACGAACATAGACAAAAAAGAATGTAGAAATCACATAGGCCAAAAAATTACAAACAGAAAGCTATGATGCTTAAGAGGGGTTAAAAATAACCTCTAGGTGGATCCCTACACAGTAACAAAAACAACATTTCTTAGAAACAACGAAGTTGAATTCTGCACAGATTTACTTAGGTAACAAACTAAAAAAGAGCACTGGAAAGTTAAGCACATACTTTCCTCTAAATGAAAACGTACTAAACTGGCCACAAGATAAAAATAGCCACCCGATCCAGAGAAATATTAGATTTGCTATATTGATTCCAATTCGGTCCGCGGAAACACGTCCGCAACGCGACTATTCATACTAGAGCGCACTTTCCGCTCCGTTAGCTCTAAGTAGCTGGAATCTGTTGGTATTCCTCTATGAATCACTCCCTAAGCAGTTGCATTATAACGATAACTGAAAGAAGATACAGATATACCTTTAGAGATGCTTTTCTTGTTTTCTAAAAGAACCGAACTTTTATCTATTCTTTAGGACCGTCGCTTCAGCATTGTTAAAGCACTCACGACTGCATGAATCATATATGACTCATATATGGAGAGGGATATATTCCACAGGGTAGTGGTTTTCTGCGGTATTTTTTGTATTGATTCCATCGCCTCTCCTATACAGATGTTTTTCTGGGCGTTATTAGGGAAAAACTTTGTTCTACAGGTGATGTTAAGCAAAAAACGTTTTCCTTTCTTTCCTATCAGTTTTCTCGTCAGTTTTGTGTCATGTGGTAGGAAATCGTTGCTGCTAAAGTGACTACTGAGATGTCTTTGCTGGACTTCCGCACTGAAGCCCAGAACTTGGGGCATACAATGCAGTGATAAAATAGTAAATCACCAGGAAACTGTATAGATGCGAATGTACTGTAGACGTTTACGTCGAAGTGGATTGATGTTCACAGAACACTCGAGCAATCCTCCACTCCAGAAGATTCGACTCGATGCAACTACGAAAACCTAGGTGGCAAGACAGACCACCTATGGATAGTCTACTCCAATCATCGTGGCGCTGAAGAATTTAAAGACGCCGAGACACTGGCCGAATAAACCTTTTGGAACAAACTAGCATTAGCTTAATGGCCTGAAGAATTGTTCAGATTGATTGTTCAGACGAAGATGAAGTGAAAGTGGGTTTGGGAAAATATCTCTCAATAGCTTATGGGACACGACCAAGCTAGAAGTTCATCCTATTTGATGGACGGGTCTTCGAGCCACGCCTGATGTATTAATGCTTCTCAGCCATCTCAGTGTTGATCAGTCCCTGAAGAACGCGCCATGCATTCGACTTCATTAAGCATCGTTTGGAGATGATTGAATGCATATCTGGCCTTTACAATGGCTCGCGGTGGCCTACCGATGTATCGAGCCAGTGCTGCTATACTCCCAGACAAATCTGGTACCAATTTGCCGACTCCGGAGGGATGGAAGGCTTGGTGGATCATGGACGCTGGAATCGATTCCACGTGTGCGTCGCAGTGACGCCTCCAACCACTGCGCCACACGCGCCTCTGCAGGATACAGTCCTCATATTCACAACTACACCCATTCTTTTATGTGCAGGTATAGCTGTGGGCAGAGATGGTACAATCTGCTGTAACGTAGTGGACAAGGGGACAATTTCTCGAATCCATGTGCCTGTTGGGTAAGGGCAGAGCATATTTTGGGATTTTTGCAACTTCCTATTCACGACATAGGTAAGCGCTACTGTAGCCTATTGAGTAACCTAAGTAACGCATGCGAGATTTCTTGTATAAAAGCGATTTATGTGGGACGTGTTTACTGAATAATATTACGGAGAATACTTCTATAACGTGTTGCGGATCAACCCAGTGATTAATCTTGAAAGTATTTTATCAACGTTCACTTAGACGGGGCTTCTTACTCTCCAACTTTCCTTTTGAATTCTTAGGTCTCATTCTTCCCTATTTTCCATACTGACATGTCTAAAGAATCCCAATCGATGTTACCATAAAAAGGTTTTGGAGAACCTGAACCGAACATAACTTAGGAGTAGCAGATGTGGTGTACAAGATAGAAGAGCAGCGTTATATGTAAATAAGGATCACTTGGAACTGTAACATTTATTCTCGAGGTGTTAAGATCACTATGTCTAATAAGATCCACTCAACTTCGCATCCGCTAACGTGGCTCTAGTGCCATTTCGAGCCAACAAAGAATCTGGACCAGCACCGGTAAACACTCTGCTTTCCTAACACAGTCTTTAAGTTAATTAACCTACTCAGAATTAGGAAAAGGTGTTTCCTAACACCTCAGAGATTTGTTCGTTCCTGAATAAGTAAACCGTTGAGGGTTTCTTAAATTGCAGCAGCGATGGTATGAATCGACCAGCACATTGTCAACACTATTTGTCCTGTTTATCTGCTAAGGAGCAGTGCATTCAGTATCGTTTGACCTATCACAGATCCGAGATGACACAGATCTTGTATACCTGAGCTATGGAGAATCAGAGCATCAACAGTGGACGTGTCACTTGGTCGGGGTTAACTGAAGAACCCATCCACCGAATTCCTGGCAAACATATGGTAACTTCTGGTCCGTTCTTAACCTGCTAATCGACCACAACGATGCGCTGTGTACCCTCATGGCTTCGAGATCCCTCACTTTATGGAAATCTGCTTGTCTAATCAATATGCGTCAAATTTCCATTCTAATACGCAGATGAGCTCAGATAACGAACCTTGATATTAGGAAGTATTGTTTGAAGACGGAAAAGAACGATTTTAATAGAGCCATAAGAAACCAATTAAACTTTCCAACCCTCCGAGGACACTGTAGAATGTAATCTTCCTAACTAAATCATTTGTTAGTTTGAGGCAAAATTACTTGCAAAATTTCTTACCATGAAAATTTTTCTGAGTGATAAAAGCGCCGAATTTGCAAAGACAAGTTGAATTTTTGTGGCGCAGTGGTTGAAGACGCTACTGCGACACACACGTGGAATCGATCCTGGCAGCCATGGCTCACCACGATACATCGTAGGCCACCGGGAGTCATTGTAAAGCCCAGATATGCATTCAGTCACTTCCAACGATACTTAATAAAGTCGAATGCATGGCGCATCCCTCATGTGATCAACACCGAGAGCTTCATCCTTTATCCTTTATCCTAAGTTGAATTTGAGGTGTAAAACCGACGAAATCGCACATAAAACGTTTAAGAGGTTAACCTTTGATGCAGATCCATGGAAACAACATGAACTGTCATCAAGACATAACACTAAGCAGTCGTTTATCAATGATCAATGTGTATGTTTCGAAAGGTTCTGTATCATAAATACGAGTCTTAGTGACGACGAATGTCATAGGAGAGTATTAGCAGTTGGTGACGACCATCTGACTACAGTAATCCAAGATAGCCCTTAAATACAACAAGATGGTTCAAGAAGAATCCAACTTCTACGTTTAAATAACCATCGTGAAAGTTCGACAAATTGGTGTTGTGGAATTGAAGCGACGATAGCGAGATCATCGTCATGAGGTTTGTCTCACACTCCTCGTAGGCAACAAAAACGACAAATTCCTCGGTGGCACGAGGACGTACAAGGATAGTCCTTTCTTACACAACAACGAAAGGCGGTTCATTGCAGTGTTTGAAACGGCATGATGCCCCAAACCCTGCTCAAAACCGAGTGTTCCTTAGACGATGATTGTGTCCTTTTTATTTATGGCAGATGAAGCACCTACTACAGTTTCTTGAAATTTGGTGAAATGTTTGCAACAGAGAAGCATTTTCACAAATCGATGAAATTCCTTGAAACCAAAAGCAGTACACATATTGATTATTGGTTGTTAGAAAAGGTTTATTCCTACTGTGCGACAACGGCCGATCACACGTTGTAATACAGAAAGAATTAAACTACGAAGCCAGAGGACCCATCATAGAGCTGAGCTCACCAACCGACTACAGCTTTTTCATTTACCTCGACGACTACCTGCTGATTTGATATTCAATAATAAAAGCGCTGATGGAAAGCCCACTGCGGAATTACTTCATTCTAGAACTTCAGTGATTTATGCTGCTGGAATAAGTAAACCTATATCATGTTGCAAATGATTCTGTAGATTTTAATTTACTTTGGTGAACCTAGTTAACATAGATGTTTACTCCGTTTAACAGTCAAAGAAATTAGTTGTGTTTCAACCAAGCCATAGCATCTTAGAGGAAGCTGCTTTTAATTTTACTCCAACTGTGCAGTTTAGCATTTCATTTCCACCAGTGGTTTAGCGCTATATTGTGGCCGTGAATGTTCATTGGTGTTCAATTTAGATGTATAACGGGATTTTGTCTCCTCAAGGGTCGCAAAGTTGAGATGAAGGCTGCAGTTCTCATCCAGGAACTTAGCTGAGAATAAACAAACGGCGGGAGTAGCTGCTCTTCTCGTAGAAGTCGTATCGAAACGTGGTTAATCTTCTTTTGGTCTTCAAAGGCTGGCAACTGCTCATAGCTACGACATCGCAAGCCCTCTCTGAAACTCTCTGTAGCCAAGGCAACAATCTTGCTAAAGCAGTTATAGTACTGTGGTATCCAAATAAGTTCGTGACCAAACCATTTATGCTGTCAGTCATTGAGAAGAAACATATAAATAATGGCAGGATGACAAGTTTAATAAGACGAAAAACTGAGAGCCAAGGACTGTTAGCAAGTTCATACTCTTACTCTTCGTCAGATAACGTTCCCAAACAAAATGCTTTATCTAAAAAACCATGCGGTTC